GGGACATACTCACTCTTTAGAATGTAGGTAAAAAATTAAGAAATAAACGAAGTGTGTAGACATAGCCAGACTTACTGTTATAAAACAAATTTTAGTTATACAACTTTAACTTCATTTTTGAAGAAATCAGATATTTTCTCAGTACTTGTATATTCTAATTCTTTGTACCTGTATGCTATTTAACACAATTCTAATATGTTTGTTTATCTTGTATAACAAGCCACAGATGCAATAAACAAAGCGGAAGGAAGAGAAATAAATGTTAGCGGCAGGCAAACTGAACATATCAAAAAATTTCGGATGATGATGTTTAAAAAGGTTGCTAATTATATTGCTTTGCTCTTCAATGATGATAAATAAACAAGGCCTGTAGCCACAAGTGACCAGTAGCCTCAAACTTATGCCCTTTGTCTTATACCATAATGTTGTAAACAGCTAAGAATATTTCAATATCATAATCCTAAACCTGTGATGGAAAAACTCTTTTAGGAGTTTATTCATAAATTTCAGAGGCATCTTCCCATTGTTCTTTCTTTCTTCTCCATCGTAGTGTCTTGTTAGAGTAAAAAAAAAATGATTCAAGCTACACAATTTATCTCTGCAATGTTTTTCATAAAATATGTGATCCTGTGTTTTCTTTCCATAGATCCAGGACTGCATAGGCAACTGTATTTTCTGCAAAGACCATCCAATGTAGTAGCCATTGAAGGAAAAGATGCGGTGCTGGAGTGCTGTGTTTCTGGCTATCCTCCACCAAGTTTCACCTGGTTACGAGGCGAGGAAGTCATCCAACTCAGGTATTATACATTTAGAACTTTTATGAAATATATGCTGCTATTTATTTTTTCAAAGTTGATATAAGTACTTAGAAGTACTAGAGTTTTTAAAAGTAATAGTTGAATTTTTCCCCACATATCTTGGCATGGTACAGTGTATGAAAGGCAGTTAGCCACTGGGATGACGGGATTAGGAAAGAGTCAAAATTTCAGAAAGGAAATTAAGAAAGCTAAGGTTGCCATTGAGATGGCCCTGTCCAAATAGTCTTCAGCAAAGCTGTTTTGGAGGATCACATCCTAAAGAAATGGCATAGAAAGGGAGATCTCAAATGTTCTCACCATAAAAAAAAAATTTAAAAAGATAACTATGTGATGGTGAGGTGATGAGGTGATGGATATATTAATTTGCTTGACTGTGGTAATCATTTCACAATGTACACATATATCAAAACATTACTTTGTACACAATAAATATATGTAATTTTTTTGTCAATTGTTTCTCCATAAAGCTGGGGAAAAAAAGAAACCAAAATTTCCTGAGCTCCAATATGTAGTACATCATTATAGGGCCTGAGCAATTTTTTTTTTTTTAGCACCAATTACATATCTCACTATCCCAGCTATAATGAATATTTAAGTTAAGACAGAAGAACTTGGCTGGCTTTGAATTACTGGAACATTAATAATAAGGTACAGTTAGAAAGTAAGCCCTTAATAGAATGGAATACTTAGTCTGAAACATTTTGATTAAATGGATCTCACTTAAGAAATTAAGTTCATTGATTTGGGGGAATGGTGTACACCTTCTTAACACATATTTTCTATGATGAGATAGGTCCATAGATCATAAATTAATCTCTAACTTTATCCACCTTAAATTTTTATTTAGATTACAACAATACATGGGGTGGTTTCACAAAGCTTCTGAGAATATTAAAGCATAGAAGAAACGCAGTTACAGCTTAAGCATGTCAAGGTGTGTTCTCTGGATACACCCAGGCACTCTTAGTGCAGTATGAAATGTGGCTTTGTACAAAGATCACTAAATTGGATAGTAGGACACAAGACATTGACTTCCACTCTGGGAAACGACATCTCTGGACCTTCAGGTCCTCAAATCCAAAACGAGAGAATTGAGCTAGATTATTATTATTAGAGAATTGAGCTAATTTTTAGAAAATAATAATAATTATTTTTATCATTAAAGTTAGTTCCAAGCTTAATCTACTTCATTTCTTTGATCACTGCATACAGCCTTCCAATGGGAGTAGTTTACCTGGAATAAATTTTTGATCAGTAAACAAGATATTATCAAGCCTCTATAACATAGGGTTTCTTTCCAATTTTATACTTTGAGCTTTTGTAGAGTTCATTTAAATTGCTGAGAACCTTGCTTGATACAAGTGTATATTAACTTACTCCCTAATTACATGTGCCCTATGTTCTACAGGTCTAGAAAGTATTCTTTATTGGGTGGAAGCAACTTGCTTATCTCCAATGTGACAGATGATGACAGTGGAACTTACACCTGTGTTGTCACATATAAAAATGAGAATATTAGTGCCTCTGCAGAGCTCACAGTTTTGGGTAAGTTAATGGCTGAAGATGAGTTTGCATTATACTCTTCAAAATATATTACCATGACACTCTAAATGCTCACCACCAAATTGCTTCCTATGTTTACTAGTGTGAAATTGCAAAGTCCCAACACTCCACACTTGTCCTTGCTCTGCTTTAATTACAGAGGGGTTAAATGTTGTGTTCAAATACTTGCTTTTTGATTAAAATCCATAAATATCGCTCTTTATTCTAATTATTCCAGTGACACAACTGAAAAATACCAAAAATTATTTATTGACAGATATGTTGAATACAAATAAAACCTCATATCTGGGGAAAATAAGTGAAGAAAAAAATGAGAGAAATTGTACAATATATATGCACTTGAGTGGAAAAGGCAGACGTTATTTGAGATGACAAGGTCACTGACATTAAATTCAGTATGTTGACAAAATTGTTTTATGAATATGGAATACTGTAGGTGTTATGTTGAAAGTGAACCATTAAAATCAAATACATCTTAAGAAAACTTGCATAGCAAGAATATAAGTTGAAAAATTTAAGTGGCATGGATTGGTTAACATTATTCAGAAAGGCAGGGTGACCCATGTATCATTGCAAATTAATAATTTTTATATATGGTAGGTACTCAAACAAATATATATTTTATTATTTACCCCACATTTCTTTTAACCAGTTTCATTTGAATTATGTAGTTTGGAGAAAATACATTAACATTTGAATTTCAATGGCTTTTTTCCTGTGACAGCAACTAAAAATTGGTTACCGGTCTTTGAATTTTTTAGTCTGGGTAGTACGGAATAAATCTTTTTCCCTTATAAAAAATTCAGGAATAACTATAGGATGTTTAAATATTATTCAGTAGAAATGAAAAGATACCACATGCCGATTTATCAACTAACTTATTTTTTAATATTATGCTATCTATTTTGCTTTATGACTTTAAAGGTTATTCAGAAAACACTTTCATCTGTGGACAGGGTAATAACATATATGATGGGTTAGGCAAAGGAGTTGATTGTTTTTTGATCAAACCATAAATATTAAATTAAGAATGGGCAAAAGACTTTCATTCTTTGGAGGTAGCATTATTCTAACTAAAATATCAACTGCCTTACAATAGCAAAAATTTAATTTAATCATTTTATATTTTGGTGAAACAAAGAAAATTAATAACTTTCACATTTGTAATGTCTAAGTATAGTAACACAGAATGGCTGTCATAGAAATGATCTTGTATAATATGTGTTGCTAATCATAAGCAAACGTTGTTATGAAATAAGCCAGAATTTATACTGATCATATGTAAACATTCACTTGCAAGTACAAGAGGTCAAGTTTTATATAAAATTAATGCACAATATTTTTTGACATGTAATGCTTCATTGATATCCAAGAAAAATGTCAATAAATGCTGATTTCTGAGGCTAAGCTAAAGTAAATTAGCCAAGGTATATACATATAGACATATGTATGTGCATACATATTGGCATTATCTTTTTCTTTGAGAATTGTGTAAATTATTACAAAATAATTATATGCTGTTTGATACATGTAAAACTTTTCAAGATGCACAAAGAAAAGATTAATAATTTCTTCCAATGCGAGCCTTGCATTTCTATCCCTCCGAGATGAATAATTTTAGTAGCATGGCATCTTTTTTTTTTTTTTCCTTTTTGTCTTTTTTCGTGTCCGGCAATGGATCGCAACCCTCAGTGTCGCGCCCGTACTGGACCGGGACCGGCAACGGGATCGCAACCCTAGGCGTTGCTCCCACACCTTGCTCAGCCAGTGAGCGGGAACTGGTCTATATGTGGGATCTGAACCCTCGGCGGGAGCGCCACCGCGCTCCCAAGCGGCACACTGTAGCAGTGCGCCACCGGGCCGGCCCGTAGCATGGCATCTTTATTCCATAAGTTTCCTCATGTCTCATTGAAGGGTGTATGCCCACATAAAGTTTTGTAGTTACATGACACTGGGATACTTCTTTGATTTTTCATTATGCCAGGTGATGTCTCTATTATATCACTTCTTGGCCAGTTTTTAAATTTATCTTTATTTTGTTGATTTGCAGGAACACTTTAAATAAGAAGAATAGTAACCATGATGTGTATGCTGTACATTTTTTGTTTACCTTTGTTTATGGTACCAAGTATTTTTTCTATGGCTGCTAGCTTTGTTGCCATAACATTTTTATTATGACTTACATTTTTATTTTAAATGAATCATCCTATTTCCAAAAGTCTGGATATAGATTACATGTTGAATATGGAAATTAGATGCACTGTTAATTTTCTGAAAATACAGAGCTACGTGTGTATCTTGGGTTTTGGTGCTATCATGTTTTTTTGTTTTGTTTTGTGTTTTTATTTTTAAGGAATCATTTTGATAACTAGGTGTACATTTGAAAGGTCTCCCACAGACCTTGTACAATTTATAACAACTATAGAAGACATGATTTAATCCAGGAAGTGGTTGGAATACTGTTTTAACTATTCTACCCAGGCTGTAAAAATGAATGTTCATATAATAAAATCTTTGACACAGTCTTTGACTATTCTGATATAAAGTTAGAATCATCCTGTAGGACTGAGTTTATATGGCAAATAGAATGTATTGCTTTATTTAAAGTGGAAGATGGGAAGAAATAAACTTTATTATCAATATTCTTCAAATTTATTTTTCATAATTTTTAAGAATTTGAGCATGTTTATATTTTTCATATAAAATCCCACAAGAAATTCAAGCTGTGCTTATAATACTTTAATCATGCATTTTACCAGACTCTTGTTTTGCATTTCAACTTGCTGTTCTTTCATGCACATAGACTGGCTGTGAATGTGAACCTTCATGAACTAACAGACTTTTCAAGTAGAATATCATTTTATATAGAATAAGATAAACAGAAATGTTGTTTGCCTCCTCAGTAATTGTAGAGTCAATATATATTAAACATAATTTGAAGCATGTTATTTATATTTCCTTCTTATAAAATGAAAATTAAAAGTTTTATACTCATTAAAACTTTTGGTAAAATCTATAGTACATAATATTAAAGACAACCATTTTAAAAACAAATAAAATATAAATAAGTTTACAGATATATTCTTAATAATAACCATTTATGGTAGCATTTCTGACTTATTAGAATAATCATCAATAAATTATTGATGGCACCATTTGAGTACAAGCACTGTACTAGGCTCTGTTAGGACTATAAAAAAGTTAGAAGCCTAGCTTCAGTGGGTTTGTAATAGAGTTACAAATTCATAAAATCAATTGCCCTAATGCCTTCTGAAAAGATTTTTTTACATATTGCATGTAGACATGGAATATGTGAAGATATGTAGAGCTGATAGTTCCCACTCTCAAAGAAGACAAGGCCTGAAGCAGTGGGAAGAAGTTTTTAAAAAGAACTAAAGAATTGTATTTTTTTTAATTTGTGTTTTTAAAATGTCCAGTTTTCTGGCTCAAAAATTGTGATCTGATTATAATTGTGAACATGTATCCAATCTTTTTCTCCATTTGCCCATTCCCCCACTCTATACACAGCTCCATTCACATGGAGAGACATCCTTCAATAAACATTCAGGACATTTGCTACTGCCTTAAGTCTCTATTGATCCAGTGTCTAAATCAATGCAGAAATGCATTCTTTAAAAAGGTATTTGATCTTTAATACACAAAGTGCCCAACTTTGGATAAGCCCTGTGTACAGTCCTTACACACACAGAAGGTGATGGGTTCAATAGAAATCATTAGGTCTACCATTAATCAGAAAATGGAAATATTTTGGAACTTTCCAGAAAGGATTCTGGAATTCCCTTTAAAGAGTCTGCCACAATATAAACAGTATACTATTCAAAGCTTATCTTTGTGTAAACATTTTCTCAATTTTTTTTCTTATCAAAATTCCAGACCAATTTTGGCTAGGGTTGATATGAACTAGTTTTGTAGGATATACATAAGTCTGCTAGGTCAGTCCTTTGTACCAAATTAAAAATTGTAAACCAAATCTAAGAATATTTCATATTTTCCATTCCATGAGTGGCATATACCACTTCACATGGTTCTTGGATTTAGACTTCTCCCAAGAAAGCAGCTCT